AAAAAAAACGCCCCCAAGATATTAGACAAATCTTCTCGACTTTATTTTGTAAGAAGAAACCGGATGTTACAATGTACAGATATTAGATTATGGTATATTGGCTCATATACCATAATGGCTAAGCCAATAAAAAGTCTTGAATTGCATTATCCAATGATCCAGTTTTTAATAATAATAAAAGAAGATAGTTCCATCTTGGTAGATGATCCTCTATACCTTTCTACATTTTGTCTTAGAAAGCTGTGAAAAAGATACAATATCTTGCACCTTGTGAGTTCAGCGCTAGTCTCTGACCCTCTTTTCTTTAAGTTATCAATGGAAGAGAGTAAGGGTCGATTATAGACCGGCCTGGTAGCATCTTGCTTTTGAGTATTAACCCTAAGCGAGCACGCGCTTCTTTTTGAGATGTGAGCTAAAGCGTAGACTTGCTGGAAAGATCGATATCGCTTTTAGGGGTTATTTAGTTCTTATCTACTTGTTTTTCAGAGGATTTAAAACGCTATTAGTGATCTCTAGCTTACCAGTCGGAGGATTTGTAGTAACATCCGGACTTTGGGTCAATGGTTTTGTAGTTTGGGGCGTTTGTGGTAGCTGTGTCGTGGTCGGTGACTGCGTTGATGTGCACGTGGTTGTCTTCGGTGTCGTTGGAGGCGCTTGCGTATTAGGTGCCTCTGTCGATGGATTAGAAATTCCACGCAGGAGTTCAAATGCATGTGTACCATAGCTTTTACCGTTTACAATATTGTTTTGTACCCAGGAGCAATCCCAGAACATAAGTCCACCAACACCAGGTTTGTCTCGAATTTGCTACAGTGAGGGTAAAAAATCTTTCATCTGTCAAGAGCATGAGCAAAAAAAAAAGTTGGGGGGGAGGGAAGGAGGCTGACATTGACTTCCCTTCAAGAACCGAGCGTCAGACCGTCGTTATGTGTCACATGTTCACATACCTCTTCTTTGTGAATTGTTATTATTAGCTCTATTAATACAAAGTGTGCAAGGTCAGCATTTTATGTAATTGTACCATCATTTGCGCAATCTAAACCAAGAACAGGCGTATCAATTTGCCTACGCAACTATTTATTACGTAGTGGATCGTGTCACACGTATTTATCTTTAAGGACTGGTAAACTCGTTTAAGTCGAAAGAAAAATTGATGAATGTCTGTATTCAAGCGTCGATTTGTGACTGGAAGCATTTCAGATTGGACTGTTACGCAACCGGCTAATTTTTCTTACGCGCGAAAAGAAACGGGAAGAAAGACTGTTTGTCTATTTAACCCTTAATACCCCATCATCGGTTTGCATATTCTCCATACCATTCTTTATACTTTTCCTGAGGTCCCTAGAAGGCGAATCTGTCGAACAATCAAGAGCTTCTTTACTTATTGATCATTTTCTTAATTCTCACAACTTTAATGTCTGATTAAGGGGTGATGCTCTAAGGGGAAATTAGATGCTGATCTCTCTCGGGGGCTGGAGGGTTATCCAAGCCGTAGATCGAACAAATAGCAATTTACTAATTTTAAAATCTTCAACATGGATAAAATCGCATTAAGCAATACCTTGTACACTTGAGCCAGTTTATCAGGTGGGAAATAGTAATGTAGCTTGCCAGCAGCCTGCGGTCCAGCCGGCAGACCGAGAACAATCAGCGGACCATTAGGAATACTTCGTGCCCACCGTAACCAAGTGTCCATTACAGGTAAAAAGTACTGGTCACCAGGGTAGCAGTAGTTGTTATAGAACTGTATGAATAAGTAGTCAAATTCTTGGCCATAATCTACAGAGAAAGAAACGCTATTATAACCTGTGGAATTCATGTAACATTTTACAGCTCCACGAATTGGATCCTTTGCTACAGTTCCATATCTGAAATTCTTATAAGACCCCCATGGAGATAAAACGTTTTGCATTCCGAAATAAAGACTTCACCAGATTCTAGCCCAGGAGAGTAAAATAACGATCTTATTTTTTTGTGCGTTTATGTGTTAGCCAACCCCAAGCCAACATACTCTTAGTCTAGTCAGATGACACTTACCCTGGTTACAAGTGTTTCCCCTTAGTGAACGGTGTATGTAAAGAAATTCTCAGTATTTAATTTTCATACTTTCAAGCACGCTACAATAACACGAACTGAACTTAGAAATTCTCTGAGAGCCTTAGCGAACTTCGCTGAACACGTACGCTCAAAAAAGCCTTATCATCTGCGCGAACTTCCCGCTCAACGAAAGTATCTCATAAAAAAAAGATATTTAACACCAAACATTAATATTCCAGAAGCCACGACATATTTCTAATAGTCAAGCACAGCCGAAATTCTCAATAGCACGTGCACCAACGTGGCGCACTTTAAAAGTGAAGCTATGCGCAAATAACACAATAGACACGACAGTGCACTATCTTATATTTGACGAAAAGAAGATTACGTGAGGACGGTCGAGTGATGAAGGGACCAGCGCACCTAAGGAGTCATGGACGGTTGATGAATCGATGGAAAAAAAAAAGGGAACGCGTGCCGTAATAACACCTACCTTCTAAGGCAGATCCTTGTATCTGAGGCCCCATCCACTTATCAGGAAATGGACACTGTGGTGCAGCTGTGATCAGATACTGTTTACTGGAGTCTGTATTCATAAGAAGGCGTATCTCCCGAACAAAGTCCGGATAGTATCTATGGCTTCCCATCTCAATGTCCAGATCAACACCATCCATCACGGTCCTATCAAAGGAATATGTTATTTCTACTGTTTATTCTTTAGATAATCGTTGTGGATCGTTTTAAGTTTTCATATTTAAGCTTGTCTCTTCGAGATGTTTGAAATTCATGCTTGCCTTGGGAAAAGGGAGACCGTAGATGTTTTTCAAATCAAGAAAAGTATTAAGGAAAAAAAAAAAACATTTGCAAAGAAGTAATGGAAAGAATGCTTAAAACGAACTGAATTTACTTTCTAATCAAAAACAAGTATCTCCTCTCTGAAAAGGGGTCAGAGAGAAGTTTAGTTATCAACATCTTTGTTTGTTGATAAGCTATTGACAACAGTAAGATGACCAAGAAATTAAATAATTTGAATATATCAACAAAGTTGAAATGGTAAATTGGCCACCGCTACGATTACAAAAGCTGACGTTTCGAGCGTTAGCCCTTCGTCGGATCGTCGGAGCGTTAGCCCTTCGTCATTCGCTCCGACGAAGGGCTAACGCTCGAAACGTCAGCTTTTATAATCGTAGCGGTGGCCAATTTACCATTTCAACTCTGTTGATATATTCAAATTATTTCGTTACCCTCACCGACGCAGTCCCAAACAGTTTCTTTAGAAACTATCAGCCTTTATTCAAGAAATTAAATGTTTACCACAAAAATGGTCTTTTATCCTGCATATCCGTGCCTCCCAAGAATAGATTCCATATGTAGTATGCAAGTTTCTTCGCGTTTTCAGCAGTTCCCAGGCTCCCATCACAAGTATCCCCGCCAAGGGATATGAGTATTTTCTTACCAAGCTTCTGACAATCTCTGATGCCGCCCCCGATTGTAGCGCACTCGAAGAGATCAGGGTTTTTGGGATCGGGGGCATAACTGCAGTGATGGGCAAAGTTCATTCCGGGATATCCGTCTAGAATATGCAATGAAATTGATGACATCTGGAAGAGAAGCCTCATAAAAAGAGTGAAATACTTCTATCCAGCTATTGCTATTGTGAATAATGAAATGAACTCTGAAATTTTACTACATTCTCCACAATCGGCGCACAATCGGCGCACAATCGGCGCACAATCGGCGCACAATCGGCGCACAATCGGCGCACAATCGGCGCACTCGACATACCGGTTCAATTTACAATTTAAACATAGTTTATCCATCAACAGTAAATCAAAAAATCTTTTCTCAGCGGCCTCACCTCTGTTTCTGTTATTCCTGAAAAGACGGTGCACAAATGCAACCAAGTAAATATCAAACTTGTGCTGATTGCAGAAGTAGCGCAGGTCTTTCTCCCAGTAGGGTCGGCTGACTTTTGTACCGATTGCATTTTGTCCCCAGTAGCCCACCAACAGCTGTCGCTTTGGGAAGGAGCGCTTTACTGGAAAACGTTTCGCTGAGTTGTCCGATGGGAGCTCGCTATGGAATACGACATTATAATATTCGAAGCATCTTAAACACGTCTGTCCAGACTTAAGAACGAAGCTCATGGCGATGCCCTCTCAACATTAAAACAATGGACAAGAGCTTTAAATCATAATCACACTTAGCTTCGTATAAAATACATGGCTATATGCTTGTTATTTTTAACATTACTCTCCCATGGCTGAAAAAGACCGCTGGTATCATCAATGGTTGGAATGATTCTACGTGTAACCATTTTAAACTACTTAAATGGTTCAATATAAAGAGATATAACAAGTCAAGTCATTGTTTCGGTTTTCGCAAATAATAAGCCCTTTACAGAGGCTTGATACAGCAAAAAATCCGATAGCACTTAGAGGACTCAAAGCTCAGCAAGCTGAGTTCTCTGTAATCAGATCATTAGGGCACCGCAAAGCCAATCGGAAATAGACTGGGTTTGTCAGCTTCGGAAGGGGTCGTAGATTATTCTAGTATGTTGTTTCTGTTGTTGTGTTATTTTTATCTTTTAGTGAATATCTTTGAAAGCCGAGCAAGCTTCAATCTTCTTTTAAAAATACCTTTTGTTCATGGAACTGGTTTTATCTGAGTTCTTTGTTTAAGTAATTACCAGGAAGAATGGATCTTGAATATATTGTACTGTTGCCTGAAGTCTTGGAAAGGCAGAACTTATTTCCTCTTGTTCGTCATAGGGTTGTTCAGTCAATTTGTATAACTTTTTTCGTTACAAAAAACAAACTCATTTCTAAGCAAAGGAGTAAATCTAAATGCTTTTCCAACAATGTCCAGCTTAGCCTTACCTCCCAGCAGCTTCGATTCCCAAGAAAACTACGAGTACCAAGAAAAAATATTGCTTCATTGTTCGTAAAATTCCTTGCCCAGCCCAAGACAAAGAGGCTAAACCGAATTATGGACAATACCTCTTTGATGTGACGGATGGTCTGCTGAGCAAACAGGAAACGCCCTTAAGAAGTATAGAGTGTCTAAGAGAAGTGAAATGCAATGGCTACTCAGCACATTTTATTCCAGCCTGTTTAGTGCCACGCAAATGGCTATTATTTTCCATTTCCTTTTGCATGATCTCTATTCAGCGGTGGAAAAAGCAAGGCAACCATACTGAGAAGCTTTTTATTCATTTTTATTGTCAAGTCTCATTCTTATCGTCTGTGATAACGTAAGTATTCCTCTGTGAATTGGCAAATTTCATTTCAGTATTGCGAAAAGACCTTGCAACTGACTACACAGACTTCGTCAATCCTGTCAACTTTAAAAACAAAGTTTACTTTCTGAAGAAAACCAGGTTTAGGTTGCCAATGAATTGGGTCAAAAATGCATATATCAAACATTCATTACAAGAAGAGTCTAACATTGGCAGAGAAAATATTCGCTTTTGAATATTTTATAGAAAAGGCGCAATACAAATAATAATAATAATAAATGATAAATATTAAGTATACAAAGAAAGGGATACGACTAGTAAAATTCTATGTCATTCAAAAGAGGGCCCAAAATTTCAGTTCCTTATGTTCAAGGACTTAAAAGAGCAAACGTGAACTGACAAGCTGCGCAGAATTTAGGCCTACGGACAAAGTTTACTCTAAATTTGGAAATGTGACAGCAAGATACACAGTGTGTAAGTTTACTCACACTATTTGTCTTGCGATAGAAACAAAGAAAAAAAAAATAGGAATTTCCGTAAGCAAACAGTCGTGGATTGAGAACAAATACAACTGGTAAATATAAGGTCCGTGCTTTTGCCACCTGTCGAAGTCCAAACAAACATTTACCCTTTGGTGACAGCTTTCACTGAGCAGAAAGATAGCTATCTGACCAATCATGTTTATTCGCTACTCCTAACGTCTTCTTTCATGCAGTAGAAAATTTGTAGTTACTGGTAAACATGAAACCCTATTTATTGATATAAATAGCACTGCCTCCAAAATTAAATTAGCGATTTTGTCCTTTTTTATGTTCCGTTTAAGCGATTCCTCGAAATAATTATTATCATTTATTGTTGAATTTCAGTGTACGCTAAAACTGAGTACACTTATAGCTGCTGAAAGTAGGTACTTGAAAAACTATCACTTTTTGCTGAGAATTAATTAAAATCGAGCCAGTTAAGCAACTTTCCTCCCGCCTATATTTAAAATTCACATGAAATTTATCATGTATATGCAGATTTTATTGCATCTGCTGTTTCCAACATTCCAAGGAGCCAGAACCGAGAAAAACGTCTCTGATAGCTTATCAAGAGTTCTACCTCTAGCAACACTTTGTCATCGTGGTGAGAAAGGAGACCGTAAATATTCCTTTACCATACAACATGAAAAAGCGAATAATGTTCAACATCATGTTATTCATGTGGCACACTCAACTTCGTGGGACCGATGCGATAGCACATGTCTATAACCTCAGAGATAACCGACATTTTATCGGTGGAATTTGTACGAGATTCAACCAGGCTCTCATTGGCCACAACATGGGCTCCTCACAGACAACGGGAATTGTCGACTGCGCGCAGAGGTGCCTTGCTATGTATCCGTCGTGCGGTGCTATAAATTTTGACTCTGAAAGTCGATGGTGCGAGTTGTATGAGTGGAAAAGTAAGGAATCGATTAACAACGTTGTGTTCAAAAAGGGGTCGGTGTTTGTGCTGTTTCATTGAGGCGCAATTAGTAAATTATCTTTTGGGATCGATTTGGCTAGTATCTTGTATATCGTCGCCATCGAGATGCCGAAGAGATAACTTTCGCGCCTTTGGTGAAAAAGGACGTATATTGTAAATTTTCACTTATAAAAAGTCTGGAAGTTTGTTCCCGGCTTTCACACTGACATACATTGACAGCATTGAGAGCCCTAGATGAACAGTATTATTAAAATACTGCAAGCGAAGTCTTTAGACGCTGATTATGATTAAACACAAGAGCTTCTTCACCATACTTGCATGCTGTGTCATAGTTTTTGTCAAATAAATTTCATGGACAAGACTTCAACTAGATCTCAATCAGAACAGAACTGGCCCCTCTAGTTTTATCTAGTGAAATAAAAAAACTAACCATTCAATTTGAGCTTCTACCATTTTTGATACGCCCTGACACAGAAATTGGATTTCTTTGATTCAGTAATAGCTGAGCACGTTCTCCCGCGGCATTTGGCTTGTTACATGAGGTAAGAGCAGTAAGAAAAATACAGAATCACCGGAACGTTTCAAGGGTTTGTTTGATTGGTTCTCACACATTCGTTAGTGGACAGAGGCAACGGTCCCTTGACGTGGGGCAAATCTGTGGTGAACTTAAACAAAATTTTGTGATATTATTGGGAATTGATCAAACAACAACCTTCGTCAAAGACTTCGGGAATTTACTAGGATTTCCTGACAAATTCGAACTGGAGAGCAGCAACGTTCTTTTCTCATATGCCTCAGCCGGGAGGAATTTGCTTCGGCCGAGTTGGTTCCAACATAAATTTTTAAAGGCTTTATGTCCTAACTGGAAACTCTGTCTCATTGCTATGCAGCTAATGAAATACTTTGGATGAACTCATATTTTGTCCAAGCTACATAAGAAATTCAGTTTACTTATACATTTGATAGTTTTAAATGATATGTGCGTATAAAGAGGGAGGCCTGGAACAGAAACTATTTGGCTGGGGGTTATGATGAACAGTAGCCAAAAATTTTCCCGTCCGGCTCGAACAAAGCAAGTTGGTAAGCATCTTATCAAAATAAATTCATCACTTTCCATTTCTTCCTTTCTTCTTTTCCTCCTTTTTTTTTTCCCATGACGACCAATCCGTGCGGCATTTTACAGCCCTGCTTGTTTCGTCGCCCTTATATGAAGATTTCTTTACAAATTTTTTTTGATAAGAGCGCATGAGAAGTTTTACCAATCCTTAGATTAGAAACCAAATAATGCTTGAAGGGAAAAGAGTCTTTCAGATGACACGCTAAGTGTTTACCGCATTTTATGTAACTGGAGGTTTATTAAAAACCAACAAAATGACCAGCTCATAGTTGGTAAGGCACTTCAGAGTTCACGGGTTCAACTCCCTTACAGGCATGAATTTTTTTCTGGCTTTATTTCATTACTGCTTTAAGCAATAACAATGCTTAACAATACTTAAAAGTGTTGTTCATGATCGTGACTGCGGAGCTCGAGATCACTCGCACCTTCATTTATTAATCTGCAGTTCAGTTATATGATATTGAGATATTCACAGTAGTTTAGAATATCTACTGTATGAGGGTGAACCTTTTCGAATTGTTAGCTTGGTGAGATAGGAAACTCCGAAGGAGGAATGGATTTGATGTACCACCGGGCCTGATAGACTACGAAGGAACAAGGCTTGGGAAGTTTAACAGAGATTGCAAGGGGTAAACTTCAGGAATTAAAGGCAAATGTTTGACTCTCTTATTCATAGGCAATAATAAAATTGAATTTATGTTGCAAATGATCGAAGAAAAATGGCTGGTTCTAGAGCTCAACACTTTCATAGGTGAGGACACAACATATCGACGCTCACGCATAGACAGACACATAAACTGAACTTTTTTTAAAGGCTGATAGTTTCGAAAGAAACTGTTTGGGGCTGCGTCGGTGGGAGTAACGAAATAATTTGGATATATCAACAAAGTTGAAATGGTAAATTGGCCACCGTAATGATTACAAAAGCTGACGTTTAGATTTATCGGTTTAGTAAATCTACTTGCCAATAGGCATGGGTTAAACTGAGCGTCATGTAGCCTCCAATTATCGGTCTTAAAAAATTTACATTTGTTATTCTTTCCAAAAATGTATATGTCTCTGCAATTCAAAATAATACTTTTAAACATTAGCTCGGTAATTAGGCAAAGCGCCCATCGGCTGACGAGAAGCGAATGGGGTCGGAGCAGCACGCACATTGCTTCAGGTGTAACCGCTTCCGTTGGAGCTGAATGTTACCGCTTGCGAGGGAAGCTGCAAAATATTTTTGGTTTGATTGATGCCTCAGTGATTAGGGCTTTTAGATAGAAAATTATAATTATCGTTTTAGTTCAGGATAAGAGCCCGTGTAATCTAGATCGCTTTTGGAATAGAACACAAGTTTAGACCCTACGCAATTCTCCATAATTGAAGCAATCAAGACGGGCGCACGTGTATAAGCAACACCTTATTTTGTGATTATGTTACGTTTTGTTGTGATTCAAAGCAAAACTTATCACTGGTTTTAACCATTCCTTTTTGGTTCTATTAATTTCCACGTCCACTTCCAAAATCGAGATTGTTTCTTAGGCTATGATCGTACATTACTCGGGTAACTTCTTGTTGTAATAATTTCAGTTAATCGTTTTGTCATACGAACGCCCTAAGGAAGAGGAAAAGGAATAAGGAAAGAAGGATCCTATATTAGTTTGGTGTCTATCGCATGCGCGTGTATCAACCCGGGAATCGAGATTCGACAGACTACTTCCGAAAAAACTTTGGTCCTCTTTAAAGACGAGGCCTGATGCAGACTGAACGTGAAAACGAGTTTAATTTGCATGTGAAGGAACACTTGTCATCACATGAAAGGGTGAGCACTATGACTAGCTTTGAAGAAGATGCCAAAGGTATTTCGGAAACGGAGTATCCTAGCTTGAAAAGAAACATCTACAGATGGCGTTATGCATAACATAACGATCGACTGGGAAAGACTTTCGATAGAAGGCTTCTTTGCCGCGCCTCAAGATTTACAGGCTTACTAATATAACTCAGCAATGAAAAAGAAGTTCCAGACAACGATCGCAAAAACTTTGAAAAGTGACTCTTTGTTTTCTTCATACACATGGCTCAACACATAAAGATCGACACACCTTAGATCTTGTGATTACAAGATCTGATGATAATATCGTTTCGAATTTAACAATTGGTTCTCCTTTTGTCATCTCTGATCATGATGCTGTTCACTTCCAGTTCTCGCTTAATAAGCCGCCGCTCGACAAGAAGATTAATTCATTCAGAAAGCTTCGATCTATTGATTTTGATAATTTCTGTGCTGATGTTATGAATTCGCCTTCCTGATCTTTTTGCCTCGTCATCTTCATCCTTGAATTATTTGATTAATCAATATAACAGAGTCCTTACTTCCATACTTGAGACTCATGTTCCACTGCAAACCAAGATAGTTACTTTGCGTCCCGCTGCACCTTGGTATTCTGAGGAGATAAATAATTTAAAGAGACCCCGTAGAAAACTTGAACGACGCTGGCGAATGACCAAACGTCCTTCTGATCGTAAGTTGTTTATTGAGGGATGTGATGCTGTTAACAACTTAATTCGTGACTCCAAGAAGAATTATCTCGCTTCATTAATCAATAAGAATCAGTCAAATTATAAACAGCCTTTTAAGATAATTGATAAACTACTACAAAGGAAAACAGATATTCAATATCCCCGCTGCAAATCGCCCACTGATCTTGCTAACAAGTTTATTGAGTACTTCACTACAAAGATAGATAGAATACGGCGTCATATAACGACTGCTGCTTTCTCTCATCGAGATAGAGTTCCTGTTGTTGACAACGCTTGTTCATATTCTTTTGATATTTTCAAAACGGTAACAGCGGACGAAGTTCATACATGTATCATGTATCATGTATCTGGCTGCTAAGTCATATGCTCTTGATCCTCTTCCTGGTTATGTTACAAGAAATGCACTTAGAGTTCTTTTGCATTTCGTTTCCAAAATAATAAATATCTCATTGGAATCTGGTCAGATGCCTTCTTTGGATACTAAATATGTTAAAATGAGTGACGTAACCAATTGCAAAGAAGCAATGCGGCAAGCATTAAAAAAGGGGAGGCCCACTTTTAACTACAACTGTAAACCGTAACAAAATCCCAAAACAAGGCCTTCGGAGCCCGAAAGGGCAAATTAGCAAGAAACCCCCTGGAGGGGCCTTTAAATGATACTAATCATAATAAGATCCCTTGGCAGGGCCTCTGAGTCCAATCCACACCTAAAGGGCCGACAAAATCCAAGAAAAGGGCCTTTGAACGATCAATTAGTAGCGCCTAATATAAGATGAAAAATTAATTATAGAAAATTCTATCTTTCGAATGAAATTCCTTTCTTTTATTCAAACCATGGGGTGCCAAAGAGAACAACTGAGCACTCCAATAAGCCTCTTTTGTGTTACGCCACTCATTTTAACATATTTAGTATTCTTATCTCTTAGTTTTTAGGGTTTGTTTCTTGTATTTTGTCCACTGCTTTCTTTGTAATTAGGTTTTTCGTTATCTTTTTATTAGCACCAGTTCATTAGTCGTTATCTGTAATTACGTAATCATTAGCACTTCTATCCAATTCAATGCTCTTTTTTTTATTTCAAAAGTTGTAAATAACTGAAGAGGGTCTCTGACCAAAAGGTTTTTTATTAAAATTTTTTATATTTTTGACGTCAAAAGTTGTCCATCCTCGCAATTTTTAAACTTTCTATATATGTATATATATATATATATATATATATATCTTATTAGACGTTTTGGTGTATAATATCGCGGAGTATTTTTACAATGCAAGTTGTGCCGTATTTTGACGAGACTTAGGGAAAGTCAAAAGACCAACCACGGGTAAATATACGAAGCAATACCACACACCAAAACGTCGGATAAATTATTTATTGTCCAATTTTTGTTTTTTTTTTCTGCCAAGTGTCTCTGCTCATTTCTAATGTGGCGGGAAAGCAAAGTGGTTAAACAAAATAACTGAATGCACAATATCGCTGGATATTTGTACTGTGCTCTATTCAAGCGTTAGTTTTACTCTACTCCTCGTAGTTAGGTAATAACAACTTTTAATTTCAACGCCCATTATTTTCTTCTCCTCTAGTTTCACATATCTCTATTGGGTCCTCGGCTGTTTCGAAGCCAACTTTGACGTGTGATTCCCCACCAGCTATAAGAGAAAACAGAGGGAGAGAGGATGGTTAGGCAGTCAATGTACTTGCAGCTGCGGGAGGGAGGGGGAGCGCCCTTCCCTATTTGGCCTAAAAGGATATAGTCTGTCAAGCAAAGTATGATCTGGGGAACTTGAATTTTAAATTGTTTTGCATTTATCTCTTGCTGTGCCATGTGCAATTATGAACGAGCTCCTAGAGGTTTTAGGCGCCTTACCTGAGTGAAAAATCAATAAAGCATTAGCAAATGACCATCTCCCTATAGCTCGTTCGAACCTTAGTTTTTGATCTGTACTTAAATTCCATATTTTCAGGGCCCATTATTTTCTTCTCCTCTAGTTTCACATATCTCTATCGGGTCCTCAGCTGTTAAGAAGCCAATGCAGTTACCTCTTGCTGTCCCATGTGTAAACACGAACGAGCCCCCATGTGTAAGCATGAACGAGCCCCCAGAGGTTTTAGACGTCCTACCTGAGTGAAAAATTAATAACGCATTAGCAAATGACCATCTCCCTATAGTTTCTGATCTTTACTTAAATAATTCTTAACTTCTATTGATATCTTTTCCATGCTAATCCTCCACAACGTACCTGTACCTTCTTCCTTTTCCCTTTGATCATGGGGCCTCGTCAAATCCCATACACTGCCAGCAAAAAGCATCACTGCTACTAGTCCCACGGAAGCATAAATGATGATGGCTGTCGGGTCGTCGATTTCAAAGTCGTTTATCTCTCCATAATGATCCATCTTGATATTGCAATTCTCTTCCGAATCATTGGCTTTTTCAGTAATAAATGGATCACAATTTTCAATGAATTTCCCAATCTCTTTCCTAACACACTTCACCAGGGAATGAACTGTTACGTCGGCATGGGAAAGGCACGCGTGTTTTACCTTCATTTCAGTCCCAATTAGGTGGTGCTTCAGAGCCCTCACAATCTGCTTATCACGGTCGGCGCCCTTACTTTCCGACATGCAGCTGTAATATACAACTCTTCTTTTTCTATGTTCAATCGCTAAGTGATTCCTTAGGTCTTTCAAGGAATTCATCTCTACAGAAATTTAAAAGTATACAAACAATATAAAAACGGTTGTAAATAGCAAACATATACCATCGATCTTTCTCCATGGATCTGGAGGAAAATGGCTACGAGGAGATGCTAGCCGAATCTCTAATGACTACATGGTCTTTTAACACCTTATACGGCGCTGAACCTGATCCACATCGCTAAAGATTATTCTGAAACCTAGAAAACAAGGCCAAATTTAGGTTAAATCTTCGCATATATTCTCTTTATCAGAAACGACTTCATTGTTGGAGATGTACTGAATTACAAACTTAAAGTAGAACTCATTTTGAAAGCCACGAACTGAATTAAGTTTCTGTCTATAATCCAACTACTTCTTTGTTTAAAGGTCAGAAATTTACAGCTTTTTTGGAGTTGAGGTCAACCTCTGATTATTCTCACTCGAATGTTATATGAGTTGTAAAATAAGGTGCAGCTTTGTGTCAGGATCGTGATCCTTCATGGGGATTTTAACCTCTTCACCCCAGCGAAAGGTCGTTCAAATTACCAATTAGTTTTGCGCCTCTAAGCTCCTCCTGAAAGTATTGCTTGCTGCCATTAGGGACTCCGATCTGTAACAGAGAAAAAAAAACAACTCCACAGAAAAGTTTAAGTTGTTTCGTCGTTATGACGGGGAAGCTAACGCCGGAAGTAACCAGTACTAGCAACAGGTATCAAAACTATTGTGCTTGTTTCCTTAGAAATAATTCATAGCAATAATTCAAATAGAATAAGTTTTTAATTTGCTTTAAAAGTAGAGAGATGTTGTGTTCTTGCAATTGAGAGGCCATATCACCTCCACTATATAAATTTCTCACGATCATTCCACAAAACCGTTGAGGAGTCCGACGAACCCTAGCAAAATAGCAAGACAACATATGACCATCAGGATAAATTAGGATCAAACCACACAAGTCAAACCTGATGCAAACCAATGGATCATACTAGACCTTCACCGCCCGATGAAGTTTAATACTATGTATTGAAAAGGTCTCAATGTACTTTACAAGAGGATTTATCAAGGGACATTCGCCAGTGCTTTAATGAAAAATTGTGTTCCTTTTCTGCCACTTGGACTGTTCAACACAATATCCTGTAACATCCTATAAGCATCATTCAGTACTTTTACTGCCTCAGATCCAATAGAATGTAAAGTTAAACAAAACTCTCATTTTTAGGTAGAAAATTGTAACAAAAAAAGATAGTTATTTAGTGATATAATTACCGATTGATTCAGGGCAGAATGGTGTGGTTTTGTATGAGTTGCTGTCAACATGGAGGAAACTTCAGCAGTGAATATGGAGAGAAGTATCACACCGATTACCATCCAGACCGCAGCATAGACGCGAGCTAATAAAGACTTGGGCGACTTGTCCCCATATCTTACAAAAAAAAGGAAGAAAAAAAAGCTACTGTTAAGAAGGTGGAGCTTATTTTGGTATTGCTTTTCTTTGTATCCATTATAGTATAGCGTTACAGGGTGACCTCTGGTCCGGGGAAACTTGACGTTTGCAATAATGTGTTTGCGTTTTCGTTTTCTTCCCGTTCTGAATTAAAGCTCCTCTGTGTGGTTGATATTAATCGATGTGGGAACCTTAAGTTTCTTTGACTCTTTCAAGAAACAATGGTTTGCGCCCTCTAAAGCGTTACCTTCTTCTTTTCTGAAACCGAAAAGAAAACAAATAATTTCGATGATATGGTCTTCTAATGCCTACCATAAAGCAACCAAGCAATCATCAGCAACCAATGATCTTACAGTTTTGCTAGTCTGAGCGAATATATTTGCCTTATCATTGTAGGGCCTGATAGAATTATCTAAAGTAGTTGATTTTTACAAACCCAACAGTCGTCATGGTAACCACTGCCCACCATGTTCCTTCGCGAACGCCTTTCCAGAATGACTGCGGAAACTCGTGAGAGTT